TGTTTGGGAGTTGAGGAAGTGAGAGGAGGGGTTTTGTGTTCTTCCTGGTAACTTTGTCAAGTGGTTTTTAAGCACACAATGGGTTCGTGGGGTTGGCCAGATAGTCCCCTGTGAGCTTCAGAAAGACCCTGTGCTGAGATCTCTGTTCAGCTATTCACTTCTGCCTTTTAGCTGGGAAAAAGGTGTAGTAGACACTCAGTGGTGTGGCGCGGCCCCGACGGTAAACCTCTGCTCACAAGAAATGCTGAGCTTGCCGACCCTTGACCTGGAGAATCTTGGGAAGGGCACAATGGTTTTAAATCTCAGAAGACCGAATGGCAGAGTCCACCACTGACTGCAGGGCCTGGAGGCCGCTTGCAGGTGAAGGCTGCTTCGTCATTGTGTTGACTTTTGGACCTTCTGCTGGGCAGCTCTGTGCTGAGCTCAGGTGGGGGCTGCTGTGTGAGAGGGGCGTGGTGAGTCCCCACCTGTTTGAAGAGGCTGGGTTGTGCTGTGTGCTGGTGACCTGCTCGGCCACACTCATCTAACCCGATTCCTTTCATGTATTTGGCCATGGCAATGATTAAACATCCCATGTGAAAAGGAGACTTTTTTTTAAAAAAGAAAAATCTTTAAGAGGTCAGGGGGCCGGTGCCTTTGGCAGGTTGTCCATTTTCTTACACATTTCTTTCTGTCTTTAGTAGAGGTCCTCTCTCTCTCCCTCTCCCTGTCTTCCTGTCTTTCTCTCCCTCTGCCTCTCGCTGTGTCTCCCTCTCCCTCTCCTTCCCTCTGTCCTCCTCTGTTTGTGGTGCTGGGGACTGAAGCCAGGGCCTTGCTTTCTCCTCACCACTGAATCTACTTTCCAAGCCCTCTCTGTTCTCCTGTGAAAAGCTTTTGTCTTACAAGCTAGTAATACTTTTAGCCAATATCATGAATTTTTCAAGTTAAAAACAGTGGGAACCTGCAGCTTCCTGACTTCTGACTTATGAGGAGGCCCGCACCACAGAAACACGCCACACTCGGGGAGGCCCAGGATGGGCCGTCAGGCTGGCTCAGGTCCGTTGCCCTCTGTAGGGCAGATACCCATGATCACACCCGATACAGCACGTGCTGTGGCTCACACTGACAGGAATTTTCTGTTTTACCTGTTCGCTGCAGTGCATTTCTCCCACCTGGCTCACTCCCACTTCGCCTTGATTCTGACATGGCTGGGAGTGTGGGCAGACTCTGGCCACTGCCCTCTGTCTCCATCAGTAATGGTCCCTCAGAAGCAGTAGCCTTCACAGTGTTGGGGCCTGCGGGGCTGGCCTTGCCGGTTGAAGGTTTAGAATCTGCCTGCTCTTCCTGTGGCTGCTTTCCCCACCGGGCAGCTCTGTTCCCAGCAGAAGCCCAGGCGTCCCAGTCTTGCTGTCTGGACAACTGTATCGCTGTGGGACTCCCTCAGACCACTCTTCTTTTCAAGGCTGTGGTTCAGGGTGTTGGCTGTCAGTGTGTGGTGACGGCCACAAGCCTCTCCTCATCAAGTGGTGAAAAGATCGAATCTAGAAGTGATCTGTTCTTCATCTTTCCATCCCTAGGGATAATAGTCAGCATTTACTTAGCACCTGTGATTGTCAGAGGTACCACTTCTGAGGGCTTCTCACATCTTCACCCACTTAACCCTCAGGGAACCCCGGGAAGGGTCCGAGGCTCCAGCCAGGCTCAGAGCTGGCTCTTGGCTTCCAGTTTGTCCTCACCGCTGCCCGCGCCTGACTCTCGAGTTGGCTTGGAGGTCTTACTGACTGGCTGAAGGGTGGGGAGTATTAAATGGTCATCCACATGTGTCCCTTGGAGCAAGAGAATCAAATCTGTTTTCTGCTTTCAAACCCCCAGTACAGCACCCGCCGGCTCATGTCTGCTGGAATAGCAAAAGCTCTTGCTTGGGCCCCACCTAAAATTATCTTGTGCACGACCAGAGGTGGCGCTTCAGAGCACTGGGTAGAACAGATTATTCCCTAGGGGATGGTTGACCATTGGAAGGGGAAAACCGTATTCTTTGCATTTCTTTACTCTTTGATGTCAAAAAGGAACTCCAAAGGGACGCACACTTTCAATGTAAATGTGAAACTACATGCTTGGGTTCTGCATAAGATCCCAAGAGATCAAAAATTTTTTTTAAATCGGTATTGAAATATCTGAATATTCATGAGATGGAAGAAAGACAAAAAGTAGAAGTCCTGTGAGTTCTGATTAGACTTTGATCCAAGTAGGTGAAGTTTGGTTACTGGAAAAAAAAAGTCTCTGGGTTTTTAGCACATTTTGTATATCAGAGCCGTGGATAAGACATTCGCACGTACATGAGAGCCAGGTGTATGACAGTGTTGGGGCAGTACTGTTGAAGTCAGCTGGATACCCTGACTTTCTGTGAGGACTGGTTAAGTGCTGGGGCACAGTAGTGTTCTACTCAGCCCTTCAAAAATGGAGCAAACCACCTTGTTCTACCAGGAAAGGGCAGCAGGATGTGCACTCTCCTCCCCGCCCTGTTTGCAGAGCAGGGTGGTGTGGTCTTATTGGATTAAAAATAAAAGTATTTTAGTACACAAGGAAACATCTAGAGTGACGTCTGCACATTTGAACCACCTGGGAAGATTAGAAAATGCCAACACCTGGGCCTCACCTGGAACCTTTGCATTAGGGAGTGGGTGAGGTGGGCAGGTGAGGCCAATGTCAGTGAGGTTTGAGGGCCCTGTCTGAGAGATGCAGAGGAAGTGCTGTCCCTTCACCTTGGGTGGGAGGGGAAATGTAGCTCTCTATCTCTGTGGGTAGTTCTCTTATTTGTGTTACTAATGTTTAAAAGTGTTTTATGTTTTAAAAAGTTAAGAATTTTTTAAAGTCCTTTTTTGATCCGAACCAGATGTGATAGGGCATTAGAAACATTTTCAGCCAATGGGTAAGCTTTTGTAGAAAGTTAGTGTTTCTGAGGTTACTCTTTCAGTGCAGACTGTGCTTGCTGGTATCTGCTGATAAAGGAACTGAAACAATGTTTTCCTCTTGTGTTCCGAGACTGGAGGCAGCACGGACCCCAGACTCAAGCATCAGACTGCCCATACTATGCCTGGGTGCTTTGTTGTAGGCGATTCGACTAGACTGTTGTGTATTTGTGCGACCAGGCTCCTGCCCTAGGAGTGGCTGCTGGGAAAGCAGGATCCTTTGGTGGCCAGCACACTGCAGGTGGGGAGCGGCTCTCGGCAGCTCAGCTCCCTGTGTTCTCCCCGTGAGAACTGTCCTGCGGTGAGTCCCTCGTGGCTCTCCTTCCCTCTTCCCCTTCTTCACCTCCTCGTCCGCTCTCCTCCTCCTCTGCCTTCCTGTCCCTTTCGTAGTACACTTCTTTCCAAAGCCCCCCAGTGATGTGTTTGGAAGGACCTCGGAGCCGGATGTACCCTCAGGAGATTCATCCGAGGAGGAGACGCAGGTGCTGCTGGAGGCGGGGCCCAGGGGCAGGAGGTGGTTACTAGGCTGTGACCTGGCAGGGTGAACTCCTGCCCAGCTCCTCCCTTTGCTCTTTGCTTCCTGGCTGCCACCAGAGACAGTTTTCCTCCTCCAAGCCCCCCTGCCATTCTGTTTCTGCCTTGGAGCCATCTGACTGTGGACTGAAACCGTGAGCCAAAATAAACCTCTCCTTTTTAAATTTATGGGTGCTGGGTATTTTGAGCCAGTGTTATGGTGTGGGTCTAGATGCCCCCCCCAAAGCCTCATGTGGTCATAGGATTGATCTAGAGTGTGTGGAGTTGGAATTGATTCATGACACAATGCTAGGCTCAAGGGCACTAGGATTAAGGGAGCGAGTGAGCCCTTAGCAGTCTGAATAAGATAAAGGGGCTGCTGCCTTGTGTGTGCCTTGTTGTTTCTCCTCTGTGCTGCCTGTTTGCCATCCCAGCCTCGGAGCCCGCTGATTATGGGCTGAAACCTCTACAAACTGTGAGCCAAATAAACCCCTTCCCTCTAACTCTGGGTGTCAGGTATTTTGCCTCAGCAACGAGAGAAAAGTAATTAACACACCTAGCTGTAAAAAACAGTGATGGAAACAGTGCTCCTCCTCCTCTCCTCCTCTGCCTTCTCCTTCCCTCTGTCCTGCCTCCCCTTCCCCACTTCCTCCTCCTCTCCCTCCTGCCCCCCATACCCGGTACACAGGGCACTCTGTTCTCACAAGCACTTATTATGATGTGGCCTCCTTTGGTCTGATAAAGTTCTGCTTGGTCAGGCTTAGCAAAAGCCATTTGGCAAAGCAGCTTCCCTTGTTCTTGGAGACTGGTGCTTCTGTCCAGCTAGGCCCGGGTTGGAGTTGGAGCTCTCTGGCAAACTCTCTGCAGTGTCTGTGCACTGCAGCCTGCCCTGAGGTGGTTTTCTAGCCTGGCGGCACCGCACACCCCACACACAGTCCACCTGTGTGGCCCCCGTGAAGTCGGGGACACCGCGCTCAGGGGACAGATGCTCCAGTTCGGCCCAGAGCGAATGCATTTCCACCTCGGACCCGGAGCAGGACGTGGTCCCCCTGTGGCTTCAGCTGCATCTCACACTTCCCGTCCTTGTCCGTGGCACAGAGGAGGGGACACTTGTGTGAGCAGTGACACCGGCCCTGACTTCCAGGGGATGCGGTCTGGCTGGAGAAAGCATTTCTGTCTGAGGTTGGAAACCCTGCTCGCAGGGGCAGCTCCTGTAAGGGGTCCGAGAATGGTTTGTGACACAGTGTGAAAGCGTTTCAGGTTTGCTCTCGCTGTTCACACGTATGGTTAATTCTGAGACTGTGCTGGGAGGTGAGCCCCTAACCACACTGCTGTGTGGACCGGGGAGTGCAGCAGAGGAGATTTGGGCCTCGAGGTGTCTTGAGTCAGGCTGCGCGGGGTGGCCGGCCACCCTCCGTGTGCCGTGTGCTGCACTCTCACCCTGGGGTTGCTGCAGCTCGGGCGATGCCTGCCGAGGGCGGTCGGCCACTGAGGGCGGCAGGACTGCGTGAAGGCTGATGCCCTCTCTCTGTTCGGCAGGTCCTCGGCCCGGTCTGGAGATGATGGGGCTGGGGAACGGGCGTCGAAGCATGAAGTCTCCACCTCTCCTGCTGGCTGCCCTGGTGGCCTGCGTCATTGTCTTAGGCTTCAACTACTGGATTGCCAGCTCTCGGAGTGTGGATCTCCAGGTATCTCGTGCATTTGTGTGCTTGGATGCCATCGGGATTTAAAGTCGCTTGGGAGCCGGACTCAGGGTTAGCTGTTTGCCATGGAAGCCCTCACTCGGTGGCTCTGCCGTGGGACTCCAGCCCCAAGGCAGCCAGCTTTGGGCCGAGGGCTGTCTGGGCTCGGTCCCAGAGCCTCCCCCTGCTCTTCACCCGAGCGTCCTGGTGGTGTGCGAGGCAGCTGGCTGAGGTGCGCTGACTGCGTCCCGGTTCTCTGGTCTGCGCAGATAGGCACAAAACACTGCTGGCTGTGTGTGAATGATGATGTAAGAAATGTGTTCTTGAAAGTCCCAGCCTCTATCATCATCTCACGGTGAAAGTTATTTAGCTTTCCAATGCACTGTGGCTGGTCCCAGGCTGGGGTGGTGCTGAGCCACGACAAAGACCTTCTTGGCTGCACCTGGGCCTCGCCTAGCCTTGGCTTTGGCCTACGCAGCGCAGGCGCAGCAAACAGCATGGCTGCTCTCTCCCCGGCCTTGGTATCTGGTCTGATTCTGCATACACCGTCCTCGAGGCCTAGGTCCCCGCCATTAGCAAGAATCCCCACCTCCCACGTTCTCTGGCCGTGGTCGCCCACTGCCTCCTTCACTCCGCAGTAGTGGCCTTTGCTGTGCGGAGAGCCGAGCAGTTCGCTGCCATTTCAGTAGCACCATTTCCTACTCAGAAAGCCTTGATGCCATCTTCCTTATCAGCACTTCCCAGATGTCTCCTTTGGTACGTAAGCCTCACAGAGCTGGGCTTTCCCGTTCCCATCTCACAGGTGGGCAAATGGAAACACAGGTGCGGTCCAAGTTCTGACCAGGTAGGCGCTTGGCATGGACCCTGCCTGCTGCACCTGTCTGCGTCCTGCTCGTGCTCGGCCACCAGAGCTGTGGGCCACGACTGAGCCTTGCTGGAGCCTTTGTTTTCTGGGCAGATGAGGTCTTAGTACCTGGAGTTGGAGAACTGAGCTTTCTGAAATTTGTCTGATTACAGTTAAGTGCTGAGACAGGTGGTGGTGCACACCTGTCATCCCAGCACTGAAGAGGCTGAGACAGGAGGGCCTGAAAGTTTGAGGCAAGTCAGGGCAACTTAGCAAGATATTTGGGGGGAAGAAAAGAAAAGAAAAGTGCTTCATTAGCAGGGAAGGGGAGACAGCGTGGGCAGTTTAGCAAGAGGCCAGGAAATGCACAGAATAGCCATCTGTATCCCGAATCTAGGCCCCCCGAGACCGAGGGAAGGCTGTGATGTGTTTCCACCTTGCAGTGGGGTCAGGGAAGTGCGACCCCTACCTAGAACAGCGTTTCTCGAGCAACGCCTGCCCCGCACCTTCAGACTGATGGCAGCACAGAGCCTGGGATGCAGCCCGCTGCGGGGTTGGGTGCAGGCTTGGGCCCCACACAGTCTGCATCGAGGGCCCCGCAGCTCTGTCCCGGGTGTCTCGCCTCAGCCCTCACGCTGTGCTCCCCTTGCAGACACGGATCCTCGAGCTGGAGAGCAGGGTCCGAAGGGCGGCTGCCGAAAGAGGCGCCGTTGAGCTGAAAAAGAACGAGTTCCAGGGAGAGCTGCAGAAGCAGCGAGAGCAGCTGGACAAGATCCAGTCCAGCCACAGCTTCCAGCTGGAGAGCGTCAGCAAGCTGTTCCAGGACGAGAAGGTGGGCGGCCTGGCTCCCCTCGCGTTTCTCCGCTGAATCCCGCTCGGTGTGCGCAGTAACGTGGGCCTGCGTGGCTCTGGGCGTCTCTCCTGTCAGGCCCTGGCCGGGCTCCCTGTGCAAGCTCAGCAGGAAGGGTCCCGGGAGCAATGGCGCTGGGCTCTTCCTCCTGTGGGCCTCTTCCTTCCTTTCTCCCTGGCGCCGGGCCTGGGCCAGTGCTTGTATCTCTCAGAGCAAAGGTGTTGTGCGTCAGGGAGCAGGGAGTTGTAGATCTCTAAGTAAATACTGAGGAGGAAGCAGGACTAAGAGGGTTGGCTTTTAAGTTTTAACAGAAAAGCATCTTGCACAGATTAAAGAGACAGCTTCTTGCTAATTCACATGTCTAAGCTTCACGTGTCTCACTTTTCCTGAGGGTCGCATGACTGAGCTTTCTTACACACTGCACTGTAGAACAGTGCCCGCTCCTCCTGTCTTCTGTTCTACGGTGTGACAAGGCTCCGGCCACGTGTTACCCAGAGGGATCAGGCCTTTACAAATACAGAGCTCTCCCCGGGGCGTCGTTCCCTGAGAGCCATCATCTCAAATGTGGACTCGGTTTTATTGTGAACTGGTGCCCACAGCTTCACCAGAAGATAAATTATTTCTAGGTGGAGTCTCAGACTTTTCACTCCTTACTGATTGAAAATGTAAGCACTTTTCTTCTCAGAATACTTTCCCATAGAACTCATACATCTTCTTTGGGAATTGTTCCAATTTTTAAAAAATGCTTTTTTTCTTCTGCACCAGGAGACACATTTTGTGTTCCTGAAATCACCTTTAACTGAATGTAACAGGACCCGGATATTTCTCAGCTAAAAACACACTTCTTGGAGGAAATGGGGGTTTATTGTGTTGATTAATTCCGATTCCGAAACTGTAAATGTGAGATAACATTATTTGGGGCTTTAGGGATTGCAGCACAGGTTCCATAGCTCTGAATCAGCTTCCAGAGAAGGCAGGAAAGGTGGAGACTGTGCTGAATGCTGGGCAGACCAGAGTCTGTGTTGTAGCAGACAAAGGCGGCTGTGTCCACAGCTCCATGGAGAGCTTTTCTCCAGGGCACAAAGTCCTGGGCGAGGTCCTTGGAGTGGGAAAGAGCAGGCCGGAGCCCAGAGTGGACCCATCCGTGCTGCTGGATGACCTCGCCCTCGGTACTGTCACCTGGGAGGTTGAGCTGCACAGAGACCCCATCTCCATGTGGAAGGCTCTGCATCAGTTCTCAAGAATAAATCTCGCAGAAGTTCTTTCGGGGCTTTGCAGGATGAGACCCTGATGTGAACTGAACAGAGCTGGGGCCGGAATGAGACCCTGGCACAGGCCAGCAGGGCAGCCTCAAGGGCCTCGGCAGGGAGGTGGGAGGGTCCTCTGAGCCACGTGGGCTGATGCCCAGGAAGTGAGGCGCACGGGGTTTGTCTGTGCGTCTGTCTGCTTGTCCCACCCTGCATGTGCACACAGGAAGGACAGGGAGACTGCCTGTACATTTACCTCTCTTTTTCTTAGCAGTCTTTTGCAGCTGGGACTATGGCCCAGTGGTACAGCACTTGCCCCTCGTGTGGAAGAAGACGCTGTTGTTTTCTCTGGGTCTGGCCTATAAACATTTTTTCATTTTTCGTGATCCTGGGGAACAGCCCCTGGGCACTCTGCCCCTGAGCTAGTCTGTGTCCGAGACCGAACCATGAGCACTTGGACAAACCTCCACATCAGAATGTGTTGAGGGCCCCATTGGACGAATACCGGGTCTCACTGTGGGTCTGGAGTTCTCTTCCCGGTGGGGAGCAGAGGGGGCCCCTCACCACGTGCTGGTGCCAGGAGGAGTTGAGTTGTGCCTGGTGAGGAAGGCACGGGGCCTATGGGCTGGGAGTCTCCGTGGATGTGTGTTTTAGGGAAGTTGCTTAAATTCTCAGGACCTATTTTCCCAACTGTAAAGTAGGAGTACTAATGGAAGCCACCACCCTCCAGGCTGCCCAGGACGAGTCCATGAGGTAATATTTCTGAAAGGTGCAGAGTAGTGCTTGGCAGGAGTAGAAACTCACAAACTGGCAGCTGCGTTGCCAGGCCCAGTTACCATGGCAGTGGCGGGGCTGGTGGGAAAGCTGCGGCACAGCAGTAAGGCCCAAGTTTCCCACGTGAGCCTCAGTCATTCAGGCCACAGGCAGTGGCTGATGAACCACAGGCCCTGCTTCCCATGGTCCGGGCTGCCGGGGACCAGGTCACTGCACCTCCGCGTCTGGGGCGGGCCTGCTGCCTGGACTGTGGGTGGCCCCCGACTGTGTCCCTCCCCGGCCCGCCCTCATCGCCCCGCTGCCTCCCCAGAGGCCCACTCCAGCAGTCACTGTGGCCACTTGTCCCGTGGAAGCTGGCTTTCCCTGCTGTGTCACAAACACCTGGGGTGGTTGGCTTACGGAGAGAAAGGGCCACTTCGACGCGCGTGTGGGAGGGTTCGGTCGGGTCAGTGGGCTCTCAGTGTGCAGGGCGGACACGCTGCAGCAAAACTGCTTCTGGCTGGAAGAAGGACGGGAGGGAGGGAAGGAGGGCGAAGGAGAGACTGAGGGAAAGGAAAGGAGGGGACAGGAAAAGAGAATCGAGATGTGATATGGACAGGTACGACCCCTGTGATGAGAGTGATCAGTATGTATGTCAGAAGCGCACCAATAAAATGTAAAAAACCCCACATATACAAGATGAGCAGGGAAGGGCGAGGGAGAAGCCCAGGTCCCGTCAGCCCTGTGCAAGGCACCCCTGTTGGCCTGAAGATGTCCAGTAGGCCGGCCGAGGGTCCCACGTCTCCTGACAGGCCATGTGGCTTTAACACAAGACCAGTGGGGGACATAGATCCATACTTTAGCATCTGAACTTTGAGGGATGCAAACACTTAGATGTGGTACCTTCTTTTTCTTTTTTGAGAAAGGGTCTCACTGTCTAGTCCAGGCTGGCCTCAAACTTGTGGCAGTCCTCCTGCCTCAGCCTCCCAAGTGCTGGTTCTAGAGGTGGGCACCACCACGCCTGGCAGGGCCTTCTCTTTGTTTCTGAAATTGAAACAGTGAAACCAAATTGCACTGAAAGGAGAGGGAGAAGGCGGGGTGGGAGATATTGACCAATGGGTGCTTATCCTTAGAAAGAGGAGGTGGTTCTGGCATGCTATTTCATAGTAGGATGATATGGATAATGTTTCCAAGAGCTAAGAGCATTTCTAGCGTTCTCACCGTAAATAAATCAGATAATTTGGGCTGGGGATTTAGCTCAGTGGTGCCACCACCTGCCTCACAAGCACTAGGTATTCAGTTCGATCCCCAGTTCCAAAAAAAAAAGAAAAAAAAGAAAAGAAAAAGATAATTTGAGGAGGTGGATATATCTAATCTGATTTAAACATCACACAATATATACTGTACATGTGTTGGAACATCACATGGTGCTCCATAAATATGTACAATTTGTTTTTATGTGTTAAAGAATTAATATAAAGTTGTTTTTGGTTTTTTTTTGGTATCAGGGATTGAACTCAGGTCCTTGCACTTGCAAGGCAGGCCACCAAACCGCTGAGCTAAATCCCTGGCCCAATATAAAGTTTTTAAAGTGAAAATTGAAAAATAATAGGAAGAAAAGGATGAGGAGGCTGCCTAGGAAGATAGAACTGACTGCAGCCAGCACAGTGGGGCTGCAGGAGGAGGCCGAGCCGCAGCTGCAGCTGTGAGGACGCCACTGGCTTTGGCCCCATGGATAACTCACTCAACCCACCCTGGGGTCATGTTCTGTGTGCGTTCTGTGTCCCTAGGCGCAGCCTCACAAGTTCAGGTTTCCTTGCCTCACAGGCATGGGGCTTGAGCTCCAGGTGCGCGGCTGTCGCCAGCACAAGGGGACACTGGAAGGCCCGAGGCCAGCTCCAGCTTCTCTGCTGCCCCAGAGGGACAGAAGCAGGATGGACGCACCAGGCTCATCACACTGGCCTGCTCATCCCTGGAGATGGTACCACCTTTCCGAGACAGAAGCTTTGGAAAATGTTGTCTCCCTGTCTTCCTGCTCTCAGAGACGCCTGTATTCCAGCTGGCCCTTTTGTGGCTACTGTTTTGCAGTCTTAGGAGAGAAACAGATACTAAGTGTCACACATCATCTCTCTTTTTCCTTAAATTTAGAAAAATTACCACTTGTGACTTGAATTGGGATGAAGCTCCTTTCTGGAATTTTCAGTACTCACAAAGTGCCTTATACAGTTTGAGTATCTGTCACCTGAAATGCCTGGGGTTGTGGATTTTATGGACCTTAGATTGTTCGCGTATATGTAACGTGCTGTCACACAGATGGGACCCAAGTCTGAAATCTGAATTGGTTTATGTTCATGCACACACATAGCACGAACATGATCGCTGACACCATTTTTCGTGCACCTGTGTTTTCATTGACTTGCATGAGTCAGGTGTGGGATTTTCCACTTGTGGTGTCTTATGGATGCTCAAAAAGCTCTAGATTTTGGAGCGTCTTGGGTTTTGCAGTTTCACACTTGGGATATGCAGTCTGTGGTGATTGACATCTGTGGAGGGAGGTCATGTGTTGAGACCTGTGGCCAGGCCAGTTTGTGGACCTCACAAGACCTCAGGATTTCCTGCCTTCTTCAGTAGCATTCCCTGTTACTCTGGGTGGCTTTATGCCTAAGTGAGGCCCAGACAAAAGCTTGACAACCAAATGGACCAGGGCAAATGTAGTGAGTAGACTCACTCCTCTCCCTGACTGCTGCTTCAGGCCAGCCCTGTGTGGTAGAATTGTCCGCGATGGTGGACATGTTCTGTGTCCTCCACGCTACCTAGCCTCTGGCCACAGGGGCTACTGAATACCTGGACTGTGGCTGAGGGGACTGAGAAGTGCTGAATTTAATTTTAATTTGCTGTGGTTTACATCTATAATGTCCCCCAGAGCCTCATATGCTCAGAGCGGGCTTTTAAAAGGTGGCTAAGTTACGGGGATGTTAGAGC